TTGTCAATTTTTGTAAAATTATTAAGGTGAGTATATGTTAAATAGTGAATGAAAAATAAAGTCAGTATCCCCGTCTTATATTAATATTTTTGTTTAAAAAATATCACTACTTACTAATAATTATAAAACTTATTAGATAAAAACTGAAAAATAAATTTTTCAAACATCAAATCTAAATCAATATATATTTACCTATGTCGATGAAGAATAATGACTATTATCAGTGTAACCATTTCGATGACGATAATTTTTTCAGTAACTGAAAATGCCCATGGAATTTGTTTAACATTATCGAGTATAAGATCAGGTAATGGTGGAAAAGTTTTTGGATCTGGTAAACGTTCGTCAACAATTGTTATAATAAATGAACAAAAATATAGAGTACATAAAGCAAGAAGACATGCGGTTAAAGTTTTTTTCCTATCCGAACGTATTGAGCCAACAAAACAACAAGTAGTCATTGGTTGGTCTTCAATTTGATCAGCCGGCGTACGATGTGAATTTAATAATGAACTTGTTGGACGTTGTCCTGCCCCTGTTGTAGATGATGGAAGAATAGTAATAGATGTATTTGATGTCGATAAACTATGAGAAGATGATCTTCGTTGATGTTGTAGATTATTTGTTGAATTTGTTACAGTCAAAGGTGAACGTTCAAGTACGGTTGTTCCTGTTACGTTTTGAGATTGATTTAATGTTGTCGATGAGATCGAAGGATTTTGTTGTTGTTGTTGTTGTTGGTTCATTTGTATTATTGTATGTGCTGATGATGAAGATGATGATACTGAATTCTGTGATTGTGATAATGGAATTGATGATCCTGGAATTGTCACACGAGATGGTGTCGGACGAATATTTGTAAAAGGTCGAAGTGGTATCGGTGCTTGTAATAACGATGGCGCAAAATATGATGATGTTGTCATTGGTAGAGATTGTTGTAGTTGTTGTTGTTGTGGCGATAATTGTCTTTGTGTCCATAAATGATAATTACTTGAATAAAATTGTTGTAATCTTTTAATTTGTAACCATAAATTATTATTTTTATTTGTTCCTTTTAGTTGTAAAACATCATCTTCTTTTAAATTCATTAGACGTTGACCGTTCATTCGATGTTGATCACAAATTAAATCGATACAATCACTTAAATCATTTTTTATAAGCCATTCTTCAACTTGTTTTATTGACCATGTACATGGATTTGTTGTTGATAATGGTGCTAATGATGCAGCCGAGAATGACGATGGTAGGGAAGAATGTAAAGTATTTGATGATGTCAAACTATTTGTTAGTTGATGGGAATTAGCAGGTGGATTTGAAACAAGCATGACTTTAAGTTTTGTTTTCTAAAAAAACAAAAGATAAGAATATAAATTTTTATAAGAGGATATTATAAAATATTTATATGCAGAATAGAATAAAACAATGATTAAATATAAAAGGAAAGCAAAAAAGAAAATCCTTACATTGATTCTCATTTATTTTCTATTAAATCGTATCGAAAGAAAAGTCGACAATATGCAATTAAAATACTAAGAATAAAAATAAAATAAGAGGAAGAAAGAAAGAGTAATATATCTCGTGTCTTTATGATAGATTATATGTAAATTCATAAATAAAAAATCAACAACATTTCTTAAATTCTATTTGTTTTTTATGCTATGTTCTAATGTCAATAGGTGTCACAAGGGAAATACATACATGTCGATATATACTAGACGTCTAGAATTTATATGTATTCCCTATAAATAGTTTGATCAATTGCGATAATTTGAAAACTTACTTTAAATGAAATGAGCAGTTGATGTTGATATTTATTCAAGCTATACAATACACTCTCACTGCGTACACACACGCACGCACGAACATATATATTTCTCATTAATATCTAACCTATAACAAGCGTTATTCTTTATGCATTCTTCTTCTTCTTTACCTCTTTTATATAGACATATTATTTTATTCCGACAATAAAAGTGACAGAATATATAACATTAATCTAGTTCTTCCGAAGAACTTCAATTTTTACACTGATTAATGGTAAAAACAAAAAAAAGGAAAAATATGACAAGAAAAAAATGATTCAGATTACAAAATAAAACAATCAACGAATAGAATACTCATATATTCCAAAGTAATACTTTTTTTTCTCTCTATTCTTAATACTTACCAATAAAATCAACAGAGACTAATAATATTTATTTTTAGCCAACAATACTATGTGACATACGTCAATCTATCTATTCATCAAATAAAAAAGAAAATCATCTTCAGCACCTAACCTTGAACTCTTATCTCAAATGACAAAAAAAACCTAATCTATTGTCAGAATACAACAAGCACGAAACTTTGTTTGCTTACCTTATCTTTATTTAATTTAATATATCTTGTTTATCAAATTAGATTTTTAACGTCGTCATTTGACGATTATCTGAAAAATAAAATAAATAATTTATTTAATTCAAGAAAAAAAAAGGATAGGAAAAAATAACGAATTATATAACATCACCGTTTAGAACAAAAGGAAAATATTACAAAGAAGAAAAAAATAGGAAAAGGTTTTTGACATGACGTCATTGACTGAGAATTTTTACTTTTACAATATTTTATAAATCGGAAAAAGACAGAAAAAGAAAATATCATTCATTCATTTTTTCTCTTTTCTTTATGAATATTACACTGCTTATTATCACATTTTAAGGGAAATTCTTTTTGTTTTTCATCATAAATTTCATCATGAATATGAAATACTTTTAATGGCCATGGTACACGTAACACATTCGGTACCATACATTGAATATTTTTTTCAAAATATGAAAACATTGGAAACCAGATTGATAAGCGATTATCTGTTCTTGAATGTAAAACAGCATTATTTGCTAACGAATGATAATATAAAAATAAACGACTTGTTAAAAAGAATGCAATAAATACATCAATTGTATAATGTTCATGTGCTGCTAAGATTAATATCATACCAAATATATTAAAAAACCAGGATGCAAGATGTACAGCATAAAAATCTGAGGTTGTATCTAAATATACAATAAATTATAAATGACTTTTTTTTGTTTTTTGGGAAAATTTACATTCTGTAATACAATGATTTAATAATGTTAAAACTACTGTATGACCAGAAAACATATAATCACCACATGAACGGACACCTTGGATAGATAAACCTTGAAAAAGAAAGATTTGTAAACAACGAGATAAGATTTCAAATGAAGTGCCGTATTGCTAGAACAAATTATATTATACATATAGAGAGAGAGAGAAAATAGAAAAATTAGTTTACCAATGGAGTACATTCAAGATGATGACCAGGTACCTAAAAAATAAAATTATCTGATTTAAATTTACATATGCTAGGAAGAAGAATCAACAAAAAATATTTGAGTAAAAATGCAAATAGATCTATTAAAACACGATGCAGTCACTAATTGTTTATTCGATGTTGAAGTATAATAAATTGACTTAGTTAACATAATTTTCTTTTTTTTATCTATACTTACCCATAAAAGTAGACATCTGTTCTGGTGGTTTCTGATAAAATATCAATTTTGTTTTTTTTAGTAAAAGGTTTACTTTCTCTTTTTTCTCACATTCTTAATATTTTGCACTGACTTGTCAAAACTTATTGTTCTACCAAAAAAGGGTCTAATATGATTAAAACCTATAATGAAATTTTTTCATCATATATGTACTTACACTCAATGATGTAACTAACATTGTTATCGATCGTAGGAAAAAAATTGTACCACCAAGTGTAAAAAATCTTCGTAATATGATATTCCTTGAATATAGAAAGAAAACTATTGAAATAAAATCTATTTTCCTTTCATTATTTACCAATATTTATGGAAAATTAAAATTAATAAAAATGTGAAACTCATCATTATAATTATATATTCACTAACTGTAAATGCCCATGCTAAGACAAAAAAAAGAGAAAGTCATTTTTTTATTTTCTTCTTATATTTATATTTACCAATATGTGGAATATTATCAAGAAAAAGATCAGGTAGTGGTGGATATCTAAAATCAAACTATAACATGTAGAACAAAGAAAACTAAAGATTAAATTTTCTAACTTTTGTACATTCGGTACACGATTATGTACAACAACCATAATAAATGATGTCCATATACCACTAATTAATGCATAGATAAAACTAACTAATAATTTACGTTTTTCACCTGTTGGCATACCGAAAAGAGGTTTTTGTTGACTATTTATTTGACATGAACTGTACATATTGTGTATATTTGATTCCAATAAATGTGTTGGTGATAATGATGAATGATTATGTTTTTGCGTATTGTCATTTGAACATTGTTGTTTTGATGATAATAACATCGAAATTTGTTCATCATTCTCATTCGTTAAATATGATGATGATGATGATATATTTAATGGTGAATAGAAATCATTCTCTTGACATTGTAATAAACGTATATGATACCATAATTTTTTAATATCAACTAAACGTTCAATTGCTAATGGTGCTTGTTTAAGATCATTTTCTTTCATAAGAAGTAATGTTAAACCATCAACACCATTTTCTTTACAAAATTTACCAACAAAATTTGATAAATTTAATGAATAAAGCCATTGTTCAACATCAATTGTTGTCCAAGATACAATTGATGATCCTGTTGAATTCTTTTATTGAATAAAAGAAAACAAAATTTTCTATATATATATATAAATCAAATGCGACATACTGTGGAAGAATTATTAGTCTCATGTTCAGAGCCATTACTCGACATTATATATACTAATTAGTTTACTGAATTTTTATTCAAAGTATAATGATATCTAGAAAGTATTTTCATAGGAAAGATAAGATTTTATTTAATAGTTTTTCTAGTGAGAATTCAATAATTGACATCTTCGGATTCTACGTCATCAATGTTGTTTACTATTCGTTCTAAGATAAGGAAAAGTGATGAGAAACTATGTAGGATAGGTCTCGATAGATGTCCTTTAGTACCAGTCACGAGAATTTCTTCTAGGCATACAAGTGATTGTTGTTTTCCTTTTAATGCACGCATATGTGCGTATTATATATAGGTCATAAAAAGAAAGAAAATATTTTGATCTTTGAACTATTCGAAATATCATAAAAATTTCTCATTGTTTTCATATAAGAAGAAACAAAGAAAAGTTTTTATCTCATATTTATGACTCATTAAAAGCATAGTTTAGGAATGTTATATTTAATAGATAAACTAACCAAGAAAATCTTAATTATAAAAATAACTGACTTGTTTATTACAAATTTACCACAAAAAAAAGACCTTTTAGTAAGTAAAATTATTCATATCTTATTCAATTTTTATTTTTACCTTGAATAAAAGATAACCATGTATATCTTAAGTGCAAATAAAAAACTCTTATCAATATTTCGTTTATTTATTTTGTAACAATAATAAAATATTGGATTTTGTATTCAATAATTTGAAATAATTATATTGTTTATTTTAATATTATGATCATAGATTTGGATATAAAATTGTAAAAAATATTAACATTTAATTGATATTAAATCGAGCATAACTGTATTTACAAAAATAAAATATATTTCGAGTAATCAGATAGAGTTCGTTTTAGACCACATAAGCAAATCTATTATTATAATAGCTTGACGAATATAAACATGTATAATCTTAATCAATTCTGACATCCATTTTTCTTCTGTATATATCCATATGGAATGGAAATTATGTTATGTTGTTAGATCTATTACTATGCTGTTATTATTAATGTTATCTTTAGTCTATAATTATTGAGTAAATATCAATCTATATTCAAAAAAAAAGAAAAATATATGTACAAGCTTTATATTGCTATCATTTAAAACATCCTCATAATGATGTTAAATATTTCTTTGAACATTTGAAAAGAGTGTTCCATATATCCAATTTCTGTAATAAAAAAAATGGTAGGCAAGGCTCTATTTTATTTTTATGGGTCAGGCTGAATATAATTTGAGAGAATATTAATACTGTATAGACTGATTTATAACTAAGCTGATCTGCGGTTATTTTCTCTGTCTCCATGTGTATTAACACATAGTGCGATAAAAGCGATTTTCCTTGTGTTTTCTTTATATTTTGAGAAAAGAAGATGTCAGGAAGGGAAGAAAATCTGTTTGATTGAAAAACAAGAAAGAAGAGTAGGAATAAATCGAGACGTGCTGATGTTGTTGTTGTATTTACGTGTTATTGTTGTAATCGTATAATAATTATTGATAGTAAATGAATTCTACTAAGAGTTGTCATATTTTTCTCCTTCAGATATTTTATGCATTTATATCTATATGTTCTTATTTTTCAATTAACAGCTAAAATATCATCATAAGTTTTATACATAAAATCCTAATTTATTACTTCTTGCAAAATCAGAGGTTTACTATTTCTGAAAAAACTTAATATCCTTGCTAATAAATGAAAGAAAACTTTTCATTCTATGTCTATCTGTTTTTTAAATACTATTGTTTTGTTTTTGAGCAATATGTGTTTTAAATATGATAGTAAATATGCATCTTCTACAATTTAAATTTTTTTGTTAATAATAGTCATGTGAAATTGAATACATACTATCATTATAATTATTCGCAATAAGAACAAAAAAATTACCTTATCATAATTGTTTTTTGATATTGTATTTTAAATAAAAAAAAAGCAGAGAAACGTATCTTCATTTGTCTATTTACTATATAGACATATAATATTAATCGATTGCATTAATCACGAAATTCAACTATATATCAGGTGTAAAAATAATCAACAATGCAAACGACTTCAATTGATTGTTGTTGGAACTGAAGCTCAGAGGAAATCAATTATATATGTAACATTTAGTCATGTACTTTATGTGATTATCATTGAATAGTAAGTTTTTTCAAGTACAAAATAATTTCATTCCATTTTACTTTATTATAAAAAAAATATCGTACGTAAATTATTATACAACAATGAGATGTGCTCGCTCGCAATTATTTGCAATTACGTGTCGATTGACAGAGAATTTTTCAAAAAAATATTGAATGGAAATTAATCATTAGAAAAAAGAATTTGAATCTATTGTGACATTAATCTTAATTAAGAATTTAATTTACCAGCGTTTGCCTTCTAGCATAACTGTTTTTTTTTCAAAAAAAACCATTCTGGTTCAATTTCAATGAACAATCTGGTCATTTAATTCTAACTGTTCGTGTTCGATTTAAATTAGAATCATCTAATGGTATCGATTGAACTGATAAACGCTATCATGTTATAGATATCTCAATTCATTATTGTAGAAGAACTAATTTTGTGAAGAATAATTGTTTCTATTGTTTCTGAAATATCAATTAGTAGAAAAGAAAATTAACCCAAAACTGTATTATTCGAAAAAAATAAATAATTTTTTTCATTGATGAATTAGATTAATGTTATATTGTGAAAAATATGATTTTTATTCAATGTTAGCTTCATAAATCAATTGATAATTTTTTTTTTGTAGAAAAGATTCATTCATGCATGAAAACAACATATTGACTACATAAGCCAACCATCTTGACAAGACAAACGCACCACTTGTCTTTTCTTTTTCTTTTAACATGTACACACATATATGTATCCAAAAAAACACATCTTGAGTGGAAATTTAATCTATTAAACGCCGCCCACTACTCGATTGCTTCCGGCTGTCTAGTTTCGCTTGTAGACACACGCTTTCAGCTTCATCAATCGTCAATTATCACTGTTGTCCAATTGATCAATCGATCGATTGAGGTATACACAGTATTGCTAACTGTCTTTCATAGCTATACTAATATGACAACATCCATCTGTCAATGAGTTACAAAAATATATAGGCGACTAGTGATCGTTGGACTTGTCATTGTATTTTTTAATTCGCTTTTTTTTTCTTTTAACTTTTTTTTTATTTCTCCGGAGATTTTCCAATGCCTGCTCATAAATTAATATTATAAATATGAAATGAGATCGTCGGACAGTAGCAATGAATGAACAGTGACCAGAATCATCGCGTGTCTTCGTCTGTCTGCATTAACGCACTCATACATCGCCGCTGTCGTTGTCGTCGTCGTCATCGTCATCGTCGATAATCAAACTAGTTCAAAGTATATGCGCGCGCCTGGATACATGTATGCGAATAAAATTCAGTTAGCTTTGTCTTTTTATTTATGGAAATCGCATCATCATACATCCTATTACTAAATATAGATCATTGTTTAGCGACTATAGGAAGAGTCAAATAGGCTTGATTAAAGGAAAAAAGATCTATCAATGACTATAGGGGGTGATAACAATATCAAGACACACTATAACAGTTCATTTGTGTCTTTTCTATAGAAAGCTAATTGTCATTCATGCAAATAGATTCATACCGGCTGTTCAATGATTTTTCTTTCCATACATGTACATATGATCTTATTATTAAATAAAAAGAAAACCTGTTTTGTTATATTAGAAGAAGAAGACGAACTTTTTAAAAAGTACGATATGTAGTTTGTTTCATTCATATTGTTTTTTTTGTGTATACAACGAAAGGGAAAAAACTAATTAATAAGGTAAAAAGAAAAAAAAAAGGATATTATCATTCTTGCATTGTTCCGTACACGCACAAACAAATCAAAACCTGCGCGTATGTGTCGTTATTGCTTTGTACAATACTTTTTTAAAAAGTGCACAGAAAACAAAAAAAGGTAAATGAATTGCATTTTGATAATTAAAGCCACACACACACACAGTTAGATGTACGCAAATACGACAAAAAAAACGAGAGAAAATAAATATAGATGTAGAAGAAAAGAAAAAAACGAACTGAATAGATGTATGTTTTATTTATTAGTAGGAGGTGGTCCATAAGGTGTAACTCCATTTGATGAATTTAATGCTGATGATGCTGCTACCGATGCTGAACTCAAAGAACCAAATGGACCAATAGTACTAAATGCTGATGACATCAAATTAGTCATTCCTAAATAGATAAAAAAAAAGGAAATGAAATAAGAATTTGACAAAAGAAAGATATGAATCATCAAGATAAAAAAAAACAATCTATGAAATTATTTTATATACATTTATGAACAAGTCGACGAAGATGAATTGGAATGTGAATTGATCAATAAACTATTCCAATTGGTTAATGCTGTTGGTTGATGAATAGAATCAATTGATACAGGTGATTTAAAAGCACTATCATACGATTGATGATAATGTTGCTTGAGTGCAGTATGACATACGAAGGGCAAACCATTTTGACGATTAACTACACACACATACACACATGCCAAACATCAGACAATACAAATTAATAGAAACTAACCGTTTAAAAAACCAGGAGATGGTACAGCATAAGATGATGCAGATGATCCATATGCATTGCTATAAGCACTATAACTACGTGGAGACATAGGTGCTGCTTGATTTCGTGAGTAACCTAAATGATAAAAGTAAAATTTATTCGATTAACTTACAAAAATAGATTATATATATATATATATATATATATATAGTTATTTTACTTAAACTTCTATCCTTAATCAAAAAATGAAAACACAAGACGCTCATGCATGACTAGATTAGTATTTTTCAATCAAATCATTTTGTATAGATTAAAATAAGGAAAAAAAAGACATATCACATGACAAGCAAATAGCATATTTCCCACAATTTCTATGCATTCATTCATTCTCTCATATACCTTCTAATGATGACATGTAATAAGCTGAAAAAAGATTAACAAAAGAATAGAT